GACAAGCCAAATTTTCGACCTAGTCGGCAATCCGAGATTTCTATTTCTTCTTAAGCACGAAAAAGCTTCTGAAACAACTGACAAAAAGGGTATCACACACTCACAAGCACTTGCGCGACAATAGGCAAGTTGCATGTCACATTTTTTTCATCCATGCTTTCAGAAGTTTTTTCTGTATAAAGAAATTGTGCTTCGCTATGTCCATAAGAAAGATGCCGTTACATTGCCCAAGTTAAATTGGTTGGTGAAGCAGGAATGGGCCGGGGCCACAAAAATGAGAGGCAAGTAAAATTTTGCTTAAAGGAGCCCTGTGGCACGTTTCGAAATAAGCATTGAATGGCTTCATTGGCATTTGATAACCTCACGAATCGAGTGGCAGACAAATTTCTAGAACCCACGAAGTACGAATAGAGATTCATTGCACTACGTAATTTCTTTCTCTCTTCCCCGGCTTCGATGAGTGCATCAAAAGTTAAGCAGGGAGAGATGACATGGAGGAAATTAGTCATACGCGTGTGTGTCTTCACTTGGAGCAATTCTCGTTTTGAACTTTCTGTTTATCTTTATTTAATCCGATCGCGAGCGTGCATGTGGGTGCACAAGTGCGTCCCCCAGTGGTGGTCGCTATAACTAAGCACCTCATAATGCTTAAATCAGTCAATGGTCACTTATTTGGGTATGAGACACGAGTTGCAGAAAGAAGAGGGAACAATATCTAGCTCACATAAAAATTATTTGCGTTTCAGGTCGCGTCCTGAGGTATAGCGTTTGCTCTGCCTGTTCCCAGGAATGTTGACTAACTACAGATGCAGTTTTCCGACCATGCTGAAAAAAGGCTGCAGGGCCCCTCTGAAGGGTGATTAGAGTCGAAAACATAGGTCTTTTTCGAAAATTACATAATTTTCTATTTTACTTGCTTTCAAAAGTTTAGTTTCTCTACTTTCACAAAAAACAAAAAAAAAACAAACGGAAGATTGAAACTAAACTGAAAGTAGGTTAAAGTCACTTTTGAAGAGCACAAAGTGGCCACTGAAAACAAAAAGAGCTCATTGTCTTGAGTCGCCTGGGAATTGTCACCCGGCTGCTTGCCATTGCATTTCAGATGAGCAGTTCACTAAAGCCACATGCTCAAAATAACCGTGACTGCCAAGCTCTCGTGATGGAAAAAAAATCATCATTAAAATAATGTATCTTTTCAGCATACACCAGCTCTTACTTATACCTTTAAAATGCATTTTTCTCAAGATCCATTCTTGGCCAACTTCTTGAATTAGGACAGAATGTTTTAGTACTTCTGTAGCTCGATGCAATGCAACTTTGCCCACATATCTCTTAACATGTGTAGAGAGCAAGTATCTTGTTTAAAATTTGATATTGACTGTATAATTATTGTAAGAGACCTCTAAATTTTGTTTGAATCATTAAGAAGTTTGAACTATCAGAAGTTTTCAGATATAAAACTGTGGGTGAGGTGATACCACATATTATGATTAGGCATTTATTTTATCACATTAAAAATTTGGCAGAGACTGCTGCACCGTGTGACACACAAGCCATCTCCATACAAAAACGGTTGCTGCGCCGCACGGAAGTGACGTCATGCACGTTTCCGGTTAGGCGCTTTGTGTCTAGTGTCTAGCATTATGCCTAGAAGTAGCGATAGAAGCCGTTGAAGTTACGTCCAATCGTAAAAATGAAAAATGTTAGTTACGTCCACTGTGACTACAATACAAAACTAACTTGTTAAACCCTCTGAATCGATTGGCAGTTGTGGCGTAGTTGGCTAGCACAACACGTAAAGAACAAGTGAGGTCGGTCGTTCGAACCCCATTGCCGTATTTGTCTTTTATCTTTTGTTTGCCCAAGTATTGTTTTAACATTCGCGCCTCCTCATCGGCCTCCCGTCAGCCTGACTTGCTGCTGGTGGCCCTGTTCACAGGACCTTTGACATTGGATGTTTGATGACCCTCGCAGAATTGGCTACATTTATTATGATAAAGTGTTTTGTGAATTAATGCTCTTAATCGGCGAGACGCAAAAAAAAACGAAAATTTTAAACGCAGCTGGCTGCATCGGTTTCTCCAGCACACGCGTCAGGAATGTTGGTTTCCACGGTTTATCAAAGTTTTGATGACAGAAAGGCGCACAGCAACGTATCCATGCCGAATATACAACAGAAAACTTTTTTTATGCCACTCAGCGTACCGTCACCTGATGAGGTAACCGACAGGCCACTTCAAAATACCGACGTGCCACTGTAATGCTCATGATGAAACAAGTGCAAAAAGCGCGAAGTCGGCAATGACATACATGCGTGTGATGTATTTATTAGTGTTTGCTTCGAAATAAAATTGTCAGTTGCTAGTAAGCACTTGTCTGTGTCCTCTCTGAGTGTGTGTGTTTTTGCGCTTGTTTCATCATGAACCTTTACCAACACGCCCAACTGGCAGTCATCCTAAACCGTAATGCTGTAGGCGATCATCACTAAATAAACAATGCCCAAGGGCAAGTGCCGAGTCTGCCGACTGCGTTAGCCTATCTAACTACAAAACAGCTTGTCTTCCTTACTGAATACCATGCGCGGCCTGTGACAGCACGGGGGCAATCACGCAGCAACGGATGAGAACAGCCGTACATTTTCGCACTTAGCAAAACAGCCTGCTATGCAGTAGCTTTGGCCTTCAGTGATCACAGGCTTCGTAAGAACACTTCATAGACGCACTGTAGTTTCATGCGTGTGCATCCAGACAGCCAAATGTGAATTTTATTCATTTCATCGACGACCTTGCCCTTCGCGACACGGAAAACTCAGCAGGAAGGACACTTTCACCTTCGACAACACCACGCTTGGCATTGCAATCTAGAAAATGCAGTACGTCCACAACAATAATCCGCACTTCATACTGAGAAACTTTATGGCGCACACATTCAGATGAAGCTGCGGCCCGATGGACGGCCGCGCTAGCTCCAAGCTTCAGGACCAACTGGGCATTGAGCAATACCATGAGGCAGCGACGACAAAGGGTCTTAGGCCCTCCTTGAGGGCGGCCTAGGCACAGTAGGCACAAGCCACGAACTTGTCCGAGTTTTCATTAAGGTTCCTACCCCCACTGCACATCGCAGGCAGCTGCAATTTTTGCCACTCTGCTTACCTTTTGCAGCAGCAGCACCCGTAGCCCCTCCTGTATTTAAAATGCTTGTGATATGTACTTAATTAACAAATATAGGCTAATTGACTCATCAAACACCTTGTAACATTTTTATAGGTTTAACATACTATACAATAAGAATTTATACATTTAAATATCTTTAAGTAATAATTTTTAAAGTGACGTCGCTTCCGTGCCGCGCAATAGCCACTTCTGTGTGGGGCTGGCTGCTGCACCGCGCGGCGCAGGAAGCGCTGCCTTAAAATTTTGAAGCCCTAACTGCATGCAATAAATAGAAAGCAAAAGTGTGAGGTCCACAACTTTATCGGCCATTTAATGCGATCAGACCTCTAAAGAAATCGTGACTTGACAACTGCTCCTTTGCTATATGTGCCTTCAGCACGAACCTCTCTCTACCAGTTAAAAAGCATGTGAGTGCTTCGTTTCAAACATTTGTTTACTAGCAAAGCCTTTTTCTTGAAGGCCTGAGATGCTTATTAGACTGTTACAACTATATAAGCACCAAAATTTTTAAATAGTAGTGGGAAAACAGCAGATATTTTCAGGTATGGAACCACAAAAAAGTATGAATTAACCGAATGATGGAGTTTGAATCAACAGGTTTTCAAACACATTGAAAGAATGGAGGGCCACACAAAAAATTGAATTTGGTTTGAATTAATCGAAAGTATGAATTATCAGAATTTGAATTATTGCAAGTCTACTGTATTATGGACCTAAAATAAGCATTTAGTATTGTCTGAAGATCCTAATAATTTTAGCATTACAATTTTTCTTGCCTATCAAAATGTCTTATGTGCACTTTCTTGATAGTTATTTGCATTCTACTGTTAATGATGCCATTCAAATCTTCACTAATAGCAACTTCTTTACCAATGCGTCTCCATCACATCATGACCCCGACAAATTAAATATACGTATCAGGCTTGCTATCTCAATATTATGTTTTATAAACTTCTTAGTAAACAGCTCTCAACCAAGTTTATTGATTCCAGCTTTCTTACTAATAAAAATATTACCAGGTTTGCACACAACTTCAACTTTCTGTTGCCCGTTTTACATACTAACTAAGCCAAATGACCTCAACATTCACTGCCATAAAGCTGTGGAATGATTTGCCCCAGGCTATCAAACCTTCCATATCAATTCAGATATGGAATTAAGCTTTTTTTAGTAAATTCATACAATTCAGTATATCTCTACTTAAACGAGTTGTCCTTTCTGATCATCACAATGCATCACTTGTGTTACAATTTATTTTGTTAGCTTTTGTCCTCATTTATTGTACTTTGCTACTGTGTTACAATTGATATGTGTAGCTTTGTATATTACTTGTTTTTTAAATATTTTTTGTTGCTGTTCAAAGGCTCACCTTTTTTTTTTTTCATTTTTAGACTTCTTGTTAACAATTATTAACAGGGGGTACAGCTGCAGTCTTTAACTAAGAGACCCTCATCTGTATATTATTCTGTAATAGCATTTCACTGTGTAAGAATAATAAATGAAATTAAAAGAAATGTGGAGCAATATGAGCCATTAGTGGCTCAGAACCATAAAAAAGTTTAGTGGCATAAAAGTTTGTCTAGAACAAACTATATAACACTTCGTATTGGCACAAAACAAGAACTGTGCTACTTACTATGAAACTAAATGCGTATTTGAAATCAGCATAAGAGTTTCTATATACAGCAAAAATTTCATTGCCCTAGGCTACAAATTAACAAAACACTTTTTTTTTTCTAAATCGTATCTCCCCTAAAAAAGCATAACAAAAGTAGAATGCTTCAAAAACAGTGCAATCACTGCGGCGTTCAGCCCAGTTTTACTCACCAGTAAAGGGAGGAGATTCACCAGGATCGGAGAGCTTCATGTTTTGTTGTTGCTGAGGTGATCCTGCAAATGAAAAAAAGTAATGAGGAAACCAACGAAATAAATTCTGAAGCATCGTGTACCTAAAGCACAATTAAATTACGACACAACCACACCGATTTAACAGGCAGAGAAAGCATCGGGGCTTCTAATTTTTGTCTTCTGCTGTACTGTATTGACATTAAGAAACTGAAATGAATAAAAGGGAACAAAATATCAAACTCTTCAGAGGAGAGGTCGGAACAAACTACGTTCGAATTACGCATCCAGTGCTTTACCAGTTCACCTACAACTGAAAGCACTTCTCTGTCTACTTTGTTGGGTTTTCCACCTAGGTTTTTCCATCCTTGGGAATGCGGATCAGCGCTACAATGTACTAGAAGAGGGCAGTGGGCTCACTCTCCAGTGAAGGCTATGTGGTGGAGTGGCTCCACATACGTCGCCAATTCATGCTTCTCTCTGGGCCTGGGCTGCGGCGCTGGCATCTTCATCAATAGAACTTGAAAGTAGCTATGCAACTGAAAGGGCTGGCCAGCTTATCCAGAACAACAGTTGTCAAGCCACGTTTCATTGCGGTATACGCTGCAGCGCCAAGTTTTTTTTTTTTTTTTTTTTTTTTTGGCAGCATTTAGCTGTATGTAGCACGCATCAAGTTAGTGTGGCTTTTTGTGCCTGATCCACGCCACAACATCAGAAAAACTAGTGCCAAGTATTTAAGTGCCAAACATACATGTACGTGAAGGGTGAGTTGAAGCTGTCGTTGTTCGGAGTCCTGAAAAATCACAACAGGAGTAAAGAATGCCAAAAGAACCTGTCAGAGCGGACAAGCCCCTGAAGACACCGGCGCAGTGCACAAGCTCCACTTCGAGCTGCATTATGTGCCCAGAGGCCGTGTGCACATCATCGTTGGAAAAGTGAATACCTTGTACGAAACCAATTCTCCACGGCGATGCTGTGCCATGATTCTTCTCAATCTACCAGCCTACTTTAGCCAAAAGGCAATGCAAGAGAGGACAGTTCTTAAAAGAAAAAGATCGGAAGCTTTAGACAAACAATTATAAGCACGCACAGGGTTACTCATCAGAGAAAAGGGGGGCAAAGGTTCATTGCAGCGCTCTCCCCATCTCTCTTAGCAGATGGTGGATAATAATGATGGTTAGTAACAGCCCCCACAAAACTACTATCTTTTCTGCAATAAGCAAAGTGAAGCAAAAATAGTTTCCGTTACAATATTTCATTCTAGCATACCAAAATGAAAGTGGCCCACTTCGGGCTAGGACACTAGCGCGACCTATTAGAGATTAATGAAGTTTTTTCATCCATCCATCCATCCATCCATCCATCCAAAGCGAAGGCACAAACCCAACAAGCATACCTGCATGTTTAAGCTTGGTAAAGAAGTGGGCGTGCTCTATTTTCTTATTCGAAGCTAGAAGGCAAAAGTTACACATAGTTTTGGTACAAAAGGTCAGGTCTACATGGCATAAAAGCACATGTTTCAGAGGGTACAACATGGCTATTTTCCATGAGGTGCCATACAGGGGCAAATGCGATGTGGTTTAAAAAGATATATATAGTGAATATCCAATGAACTCAAGTGCACCAAAATAAAAAAAGACGCATTAACTACATTGCACTAAAAAAAAAATAAAGACATGGGTTGCATTTGTTGCCATTGGGTTAACTTTCAGCAAATTCTATTGCAAAAAAAGAAAAAAAAATGAATGCTACAGACACTTTCAATATAGTCAGATGGCAGTTAATACAAGCAAGATTATTTTAAATATAGAAAAATCACTCATCACAACTCGTGTACGGCCAGCGAAGAACAGCTTCTGCAAGCAAAGCTTCTATTGAAGTTGCCTGTGGCGCCACCTATCCTTTGCGATGCGAATGGCGTCGGAGGAGCAGAGGAGTAAGTAAGCCCACTGCTCTCTTTTAGTACACTGTATCAGCGCCGCTCCTATTCAAAGAGTCAAGTGTGAAACACTTTTACACAGGATGTCCCATGGCTTGTGACCTTTGCACGAGGTCTCTGCTAACCAATAAACCACAAAGTTTCATACAATAATACCTGAAGGGGAATCTGGCGCTAGTGTCTACGTGGGCTTCTTCAGCGGCGCGTGTACCCCCATTGGAATTATGGGAAGTACAGGCTTCGGATCTGCTATAGATGGATTACGTTCTTGAGATTCACAACACTTGTTTGCAGAGTATAAAACAAGGTGATAAAAAATTATATCCAACTGAAACTTGCTTTAATCTTTCGTACTGTTACGGGTAACTTATTTAATAAACTAAATACGATGCACTGCGCTCGGCGAACAAGATGGCGACAGTTCATAAACAACCAGCCACCAACGTCGTCTTTCTCTTTCTTCCAGACAGGCTGTGCCGGCTGTTGCGTATCATAACCCCCCGGTGGTAGAAGCGCCGTCTCGGTGCTCAAGCGACTCGGATGCGGTAGAAGGAGGGTGATAGGGCTTGAGTCGAGCTATGTGCACGATGTCACTCGAAGGTGACGATGATGACGTTGAATCGGCTGGAACGATCTCGTATGTAACGTCAGTCACCTGGCGAACGACGCGGTATGGTCCAGTGTAGCGTGACAGCAGTTTTTCAGAAAGCCCTACACGCCGAGTGGGGGACCAGAGGAGGACAAGGGAACCCGGTGAAAAGTGCACGTTTCGATGATGGAAATCGTAGAGCTGTCTTTGGCGCTCCTGTGAAGCCTGCAAGCGGCTGCGGGCAAGTTGGCGTGCGTGGTCGGCTCGCGCGATGGCTTCGCCGACATACTCAGTGACCGAGGGCAGCAAGGTGTCAAATGGTAGGGCGGGTTCTCGGCCGTATAGAAGATGGAATGGTGAATAGCCGGCAGTGTCGTGACGTGACGAATTATACGCGAGCGTCACAAACGGCAAATGAACGTCCCAGTCCCTGTGGTCGGCCGCTACGTATTTAGAAAGCATGTCGGTTATGGTGCGGTTGAGGCGCTCCGTAAGACCGTTCGTTTGCGGATGGTACGAAGTGGCAAACTTGTGCTTGGCAGAGCAAGAGCGCAGGATTTCATCAACGACAGCTGATAGGAAGGTGCGGCCCCGGTCAGTGAGAAGTTGGCGTTGATTTGATTGATTGATTTGTGGGGTTTAACGTCCCAAAACCACCATTTGATTATGAGAGACGCCGTAGTGGAGGGCTCCGGAAATTTTGACCACCTGGGGTTCTTTAACGTGCACCCAAATCTGAAAGAAGTTGGCGTGGAGCTCCGTGTACTAAAATAATATCATATACCAGAAAGTCCGCCACATCGGTTGCGCAACTCGTCGGAAGTGCTCGTGTGATAGCGTACCGTGTCGCATAGTCAGTGGCGACAGCGATCCATTTGTTGCCTGAGCTGGAGATCGGGAATGGGCCAAGCAGGTCGAGGCCAACTCGAAAAAAAGGTTCGATGGGAATGTCGATCGGCTGAAGGAATCCAGCTGGTAGGGAAGATGGCTTTTTGCGGCGCTGGCAGGGTTCACAAGCGGCGACGTAGCGTCGAACAGAGCGGGCAAGACCAGGCCAAAAGAAACGACGACGTACACGGTCGTACGTGCGAGAGACGCCCAAGTGGCCCGCCAAAGGAGCGTCACGAAGTTGGTTGAGAACAGTCGCACGAAGATGTGCTGGTATGACGGGGAGCAAGTCATGGCCATATGGATCGAGGTTACGGCGATACAGGATGCCGTCTTTTACCAGGAACATTTGTAGAGATGCGTCGCGAGGCCTTGACTCAAGTTTGCCAATGATGGTTCGCAGGGAAGCATCCAGGCGTTGTTCGTGCCCAAGGTTGAGTAGCTGCGTCACAGACAGAAGGTCTGGAAAGGTGTCAGTATGGGCAGCCTCTTCCACGGGGTAGCGTGATAAGCAATCGGCATCTTGGTGTGACCGCCCTGTTTTGTACGTTACGGTGAACGTGTATTCTTGTAATCGTAGGGACCAACGAGCGAGGCGTCTTGTGGGATCCTTGATTGAGGCCAGCCAGCAGAGCGCGTGATGGTCGGTGACTACCCGGAATGGACGCCCGTATAAGTATGGGCGAAACTTGGCGACTGCCCACACGAGAGCGAGACACTCACGTTCCGCGATTGAATAGTTGCGCTCGGCTGTAGATAGCAGGCGGCTTGCATATGCTATAACACGGTCATGTCCGCGTTGATGTTGCATTAGCATTGCCCCGATGCCATGCCCACTAGCGTCAGTGCGAACCTCGGTTGGAGCTGATGGATCGAAATGGGCTAAAATCGGCGGTGTTGTAAGGAGCGTCGTGAAGCTGGGAAAAAGATGAGGCTTGATCAGCGCCCCAGAAAAACGGGGTGTCCTTCTTCAGGAGGTTTGTGAGTGGGCGTGCAATGATGGCGAAGTCCTTAACAAACCACCTAAAGTAGGAGCACAAGCCCAAACTGCGAACGTCCTTTGTTGACTTCGGAACAGGAAAGTCCGTGACGGCGCGAAGTTTCTCGGGATCCGGGCGGACTCCTGCGACATCGACGATGTGGCCAAGTACGGTTATTTGACGACGAGCAAAGTGGCATTTCGACGAGTTCAGTTGAAGTCCGGCTTGACGAAAAACTTCAAGAATCGCCGATAAACGCTTGAGATGGGAGTCGAATGTGGGCGAGAAAACGATAACGTCGTCTAAATAACATAAGCAGGTTGACCATTTAAACGCTTGGAGCAACGAGTCCATCATTCTTTCGAATGTGGCCGGCGCATTACAGAGACCAAAGGACATAACTTTGAAGTTATAAAGCCCGTCAGGAGTGGCGAATGCGGTCTTCTCACGGTCCATCTCATCCACAGTGATCTGCCAATAGCCAGATCGAAGGTCGATAGTGGAAAAATACGTAGCACCGTAAAGGCAGTCTAAGGCATCGTCGATTCTAGGCAACGGATAAACATCTTTCTTCGTAATTTTGCTGAGATGCCTATAATCTACACAAAAGCGCCATGTTCCATCCTTCTTTCTGATCAGGACGACAGGA